GGTCCTTCGACAATTCCTTTGTATGCTAGCTGGTCATATTCAAGAGTTGATCAAGAGGACAGTTCATCCAATCTTATTCATGTTAGTTTGGACAAACACAGTTCATGTCATCATAATAGGTTAGATGGTGGTAACATTCTACCTCGTGGGATCTCAGCGATCACAAGGCTAGCTCGTCAAGCGCGTATCACCCAGGTCAATTTGTTCAAACACCTAGGTCAGCTCAGGAAAGCACAGTTGTCTCAGCAGCTCAACTCACTTGGCTGAACTATCCAAATCAATTCAACTAGTGAATTTTTTTCTATATTTATAGTTGCCTATATAACTAGGTAGCTAATTATAATTGGCATCAGTTGAGTAATAACAGAATCAATTCTTCTTTCCTTCAATCTCTCTTTCCTCTCTATCGCTCTTGATTATTCTTCTTCTCCTTCATAGAGTAACAACTTTCTTTCTGCCAGTAACATCTTCTAGTTATTATTCTAATTAAAAATACTAGAATTACACTAAGCTCTTAAGTTCCAGGGTCTAGAAATAGTGACATTGTTGGTATAGTGACACTGTTGGTACGATGCATGCTTCCTTCATACAGGCACTACCAAAAGGACCCTTTAAGGCACATTGATCATTCAACAGCCGCTAGCCATTTGATCGTAAATTACATATAGAAGGTCATCTAGAAATAATTCGGAGTTTTTGTACATTGGGATGCCAATTAGAAATTTATTTCCATCTTCTAGGGATTGAAATTTAGTTTAGAGTGTAATTCTTTGGGGGGGGGCCCTCTGACTGATGTACATTCTTGCTCATCAATAAAAAAAATTATTAGAAGTTATTAAAAAAAAGATTTATGGTGTATTTGATAAAACTGAAGTTTAAAAATTAAAATCTGAAACTAAGATCAGAAGTTTGAATTTATTAAATTACTGAATTATTAAGTACTAAATTTGATATTAAGCAAAAAGTTTATTACTTATTTTTGGAAAAAAGTTTTGTTAAGAAAATTTAGTACTACTTAATTCAGGTGTTTTATTTATTTATTTTTGTTAATAAATGTGTCTAAACATGTTAAATCTGAAGCTACTAAAGTTACAAACTGAATTGATCTATCAAACATGGCCTTAGATTGGCTTAGGGCTTTGGGGACATGGAAGACGAGGTTTTGGAGTAGAAATCAGCCAAATCATGTACCTCATCCAATTTTAAATTTAAGTGAATGCCCTTGCTGTGGCTGAAACTATACAGTCCATTAACAACGTAGAATCTTCTAGGACTAACGGTTGCAACATGGGGATACCAAATATGGGTCATAACCATATTTACTCTGAGAGTCGTTTGGACCGGAGCTATATGACATTGAGTCCAGATTGGTAGCCTACAAATACCAAAATCACGGACTATAAAATTCTTATTCATATTGAACCAGTGACGGAGCCAGGATTTTTTTCTTGCGGGAGCCAAACTTTTTTCGAACAAAATTATCTTAATATGTTATGTTCAAAATAATTTTCATTTATTTAAATATATAACATGTTAAAATATCAAATATTTGACTTTAATTATAAAGATATGTCTATTTCATAAATATATAGCATAGTCATAACTAAAATTAAGACAAGAAATAATATTTTATTAAATATCTTATAACATCATAAACCACCTAAATTGCACATTATGAGAAGATGCTCCAATATGTCACTTGTGCAAAAACAAAAATATAACTATGCAATATAAATATAACTATTTTCAATTAAAAAAAGATAAAAGTTATGATAACATATCTTGAAATTTCATCCTCTTTTATTAAAAGTAAATTGAGCTTTACGTTCTTTCATAGAACTAAATTCATCTATAATTGAATCAATGCTAAATTTTCGAACAACTTCATGTTTTATGTACGTTGTTAGGCAGTTATTCAAGAAATGATCTGTTATCTTGTTTTGGAGCTTTGTTTTGATTATCTTCGTAATTGAAAATGTCCATTCTATAGACTATACAGTGGAGCCAAGATTTTTTCCTTGGGAGGGAGGCCAAATTTTTCTAAACAAAATTATCTTAATATGTTATGTTCAAAATAAATTTCATCTATTTAAATATATGGCATCTTAAAATATCAAATATTAACTTTAATTATAAAAGTATGTCTATTTCATAAATATGCAGCATAGTCATAACAAAAATTAGGACAAAAAATAACTTTTGATTAAATATCTTATAATATCACAAACTACCCAAATTTTACATTATGAGAAGATGCTCCAATATGTCACTTGTGCAAAAACAAAAATATAACCATACAATATAATATAACTATTTTCAATTAATAAAAGATAAAAGTTATGTTAGCATACCTTGAAGTTTTAACCTCTTTTCTTAAAAGTAAATTGAGTTTTACGTTCTTTCATAAAACTAAATTCATCTATAATTAAATCAGTGCTAAATTTTTGAACAATTTCCTTTTTTTTTTATGTACATTGTTAGACAATCATTCAAGAAATTATCTTTTATCTTGTTTTGAAGCTTTGTTTTGATTATATTCATAATTGAAAATGCACGTTCTATAGTTGCAATTGATATAGGAAGAGTGAGAACAAATATAATCAATCCGTTAACAATAGGAAATATCACTCAATTTCTTGTTTTCACCAAGCCTTCAAGTAATTATTTGTATATTTGTATGTGGGTCGACAAGAGGATAGATCACTAATTTTAAAATTTTTATCAATTAGACTAAGTTGTCTATTTGTATATGGACCAATAAAGTAATTATTTTTGTTTTAGTCCATTGATAATTATGAATTGAGTCTTTTTTTTATAATACATCAAATTGAGTCAATTTACTATGGATCATCAAACTATATGTTTTATATTTTGAATGTTAAATATTTAGTACAATAAAAAATAATAACTTTTTTTGAAGAAAAAATTAAATCAAAGGTGGCTAATTCATATACACGCACACAGATATATATATATATATATATATATATATATATATATATATATATATATATATATATATATATATATGTATATAAATTTTCATAATATAAACTAAAATCGTAAAAATTAGGGAAAGCCAATTTCGTCTTATACATATATTTATATATTATGAATTAAAATTTTCAAAACTTATGGGCCCAGGGGGCTCCGTCATTGCCTGTAGTATATAATGAAAACATGCTATATCGGTCCTAGATCAAGGAAAGCTATACAGTATCAAAATTGAACCAATGCATCTATCACAAGCCTAATAGATGTTTTGTAATTTTTCATTCTTATTTTGTTTTTATTCTCTTGTTTAGCTACTCTTGCTCTATTTTTTCTTAATATTGCATAAATGTGTCTCAACTTGCATTGTACTACTCGCATTCAAAGCAATGATTGTGATCCCTCATATGTACATTATATTATATTTCAATCCCAATTTTCTATCAAATTCATTTTTTGGCCTAAAATTTCATGTCTAGTAAGTTTGGGCACAACTTAAGACTGCATGTAATGTTTCTCCCATCAAGCGATTGGCACATAGCCTCTTTTTTGCCTCAAAATAAGAGGTATGCTTTTCCCCATTTAAGAAATGAAAAGTCCAGAAGATATTTTTGCCCCCTCAAAAGTTTTAGAAATATTGTATTACACTCCAAAATTAGGTATAGAGTGTTTGCCCATTCAAACTAAAACGTTGACATCTGTCAATTTTGGTGCATGATTTCCATTACTAAATGAGTTTAATTGACCATTTAATTATCAAATTTTTATCTTTGCTTTTCAATTTCTCAGTATGGTTCTTTGAATCTAGGGTTGAGCTATAATAATGTCCATGAAGTTCAATGTAAAGCAGCAAATTCATATTGGAAATGTGGGGAATTTAGCAGGAAAGAAATGTTAAGAGTTCAAGGGAAAGTACCTAACATAATGCTGATTGAAAAGTCAGAATAAAGTATTATCAAATCAAGCAAGAAGGGGAAAAAAGGACGAAGAGGAGGAGGAGCAGACAAAAAACAGTTAATAAAAAAGAATTAAGCATTTACTGATTGTCATTATTGGTTCTAATGGGATCTCAAGTAATGCCCAGGTATTCTCATTTTTTGCTAAGTATTTTTTAAATTAATTATATTTAAAGGCTAAACTCAAATCTCTTAAGTTTATCCGATCTAAAGTTTCTTTAAACATGAATAGCCCATTAGAACTTGGAACATCTTGCCACCGCCACGCCACGCCACGGAGGACACATGTCAGGCCAATCTTCAACTCTTCATATGAAAGAACTGAGATATGTATGTCAAAGGAATCTACAGTCATTAAGACTTTGAGAGTGTGGACATTATCCAGACAAGCTTATTTCCTGATAAGTACTTAAAGCACTTAAACCTTATCAGTGAATTTACAAGTCCTTTTCTTGCTAAACAGATGGATGTGATAAAAGCACGATCCACAAGCTAGAAACCAGTTATTCCACAACACTGTTTCACATATCATCACATGGAACTTTTCCAACTTTGGAGGAAATTAACTTCCTCCTTTCTAGCAGTCTTGTCATCCGCACATAAATGTAGCAATCAACAGTTACACGCACATAAATGTAGCAATCAACAGTTACTACCTAATGCCATTTAACCTAGGTCAATGACTAGCTTCCGAGTTTTGATCATGATAAACTACAAGATAGAATGAAGACAGATATGCAGGAGTAATTTTCGAGTTGCATCTATACCATATGTGATTGCAACCTTGAGGAGATATGACACGTAACCAGGACAATGTATCTGCAAAAAAGATGTACAAGCTTCAATCTAGAAAGATATCATAAGGTCTTCAAGCAATAATGCATGCTGCACATATTATCATTTACTGAATGACATTTCTTAGAATATCACTGCTGGCAAATGGTGCCTTTTAAAAAGGCATCATAGAGGAGGCTCCCCCCTCCCTTAGGAGTAGGAGTAGGCTAAGCTAAATGTGCCGTTATGTAAACAAAAAAAAAAAAGGCACCAGACAAATATCAAATGATGCTCAGAAATTGGGTATTAACATCATAGTGCATAATAAAATCAACATGTTGAATTGTGAGGCCACATTCATGTGATACTCCTATAATGTATCCCTGAAATTTCAGAATCATGCTTCTTGTACAAGTGCGAAATAATAGAAGAAACTAGAAGAACTTAAATTACACTAAAACTGGTCTGAACCAAAGTGGTACAGAAAACCTAGCAGGTGAGACATCTTCTCCAATAAAAGGTTGTATCTTGTGATTTTCAAAGATGTAAATACCGACATCATAGCCATGTGATATAGGATCAGATATTCCTGAATAGTCATCGGTGAAGTGTATGCAGTTACTACAACATTCAGGGTGATCAGAAGTTGAAACAGCAAAAGAATGATTGTTCCCAACAAATATCGACCAATCACCCAAACAGTTTATTTCTTCCAACTTATGACTGACAGCTTCCAGTTTGTAGATCTCAAACTTCCAGGTTTTTCGTTCAGGAGTCTGGGTAGTTAAAATTTCAGAGACATATCTTTGGACCACATGAACCTGTCCTCCAATATCTACAAGATACAAAAGACGATCCTCTAGCTCATCTTCGGATTGTATCAAATTCGAAGGTATTGTCTCAATACAAGAACCACAAATGCTATAGATCATAATGTTCCCAAGGCTGTCAATAGCATAAAGTTGTCCACCAAAATAAATGACATCTAGGAAAAGGCAAGAAGAGCTCTGCAATGGAGTCCAAGATTCATCACCTAGCTTAGCCAGGGCCATTTTGGCAAAATCAGAATATATAGCCAGAATTACACAACTTGAAGATGCAGGACTTGAAGTCAGAACCACTTTGCACACAAAATAGTCACGAAATTCTTCTGGAGAGCAAATAAGTGTGTTCAAATTTGAGCATTTGTGTAGTGGTGGGAGTAATATCTGCTTTCTCGTAAGAGGATTAAGTAAACACATCTGAAAATCAGCGCCAATGGTTACCAACCAGCCATCAGAAGAACCCCAACATCGCTTACCACGAATCTCTGGCAAGTATAGCTTGAGCATTCTGTCAGTTAAAGGGCAACAAAATTCACGTAAATCACTAAATTCCTTCTCAGCAAGCATCAACAATGGAAGCAGCGAGCATAAAGTGCCATCTCTCTGCAGAATAACCCGTCTCCATGACTTGCACACGGCCCCAAATCTTACATAATCTTGGGCAAAACGCAGTTGTCTGGCAATCAATCCCAAAAGCTCAACCGGAAGACTCGACCAATCCACCATTCTATTCTGTAGTTCTGGTGGTTTTCAGATCAGAGAGTCCGCCATTATCAGAGAAAACCAAAAAAATTAAAAAATTAAAAAAATAAAAAGGACAAATTTTAAGGTTCCAGCCACTTGACAAATCAATGCTAGAATTTTCCACTAATCAAGCCAAGAGCATTAGCAGACTAATAAACAAAGCCCTTAATAGCAAACCCAAATTCAGCAACATGGAGCTCACGATTCACTGTAAGATAGCACTTTTAAGTACCAAAATGTAGGGATTTTATACCCATAACTTACTCTATCAAGTTAATTGACCAACTTGATCATGCACGGTACTTTATGTATACTTCTTTTCGCTACATTGCCATTAATCGTAGGTGGAAGAACTTAAAAAAACTTTGGTAATTTCATTTAAAGTAGAAATTCTGGAGCGTAAATCAGGGGATAATCATCGAGTGCAAAAGAACTGGTTGTGTTGTATGTAAACAAATACTCACAAAACTTAATGCGTAGCCACAGAAACATTTCGTCGAACAGTTGGCGGGCAAGAAAGCTGAAAGCCAGAGGACAGGCGTATAAGAGGGCGTTTCCTTTTAGAATGAGAAAATGCTAGTGTGACAGATGCCAATTGGCATCTTCATTCGAAAAGTAATGCCCACCTGATTGGATATGTGTCATTTTCATTTACAAGGGTTGTAGGCATTTCTTAATTGGATTTTCTCAAAGACGATGTTGTGAAAAAGAATTTTTCAAGAAAAGGAGAGGAAACTTTTGCCTAAACGGAAGGAGAAACTAAAATTACTTTAGTTTATGCAAAAAGTTAGGATCTTGTGAGTTAGGAGTTAGGAAAAGACACGAACCTTTTAAACATTATTAAAATGGTCGAGGAGCATTCAGATTGGAAGCCCAAGTAATAAACTGTTGTTTCAAATAAAGACTGAGAGACCTGGGGAAAATGGGGTGGCTACAATCATGGAGGACATACATCAGCTATGCCAGTTGTTTCAGATGTGCCTAGCGCTGCAAATGAATTGAATCAAGTTGAACTTTAAATTAATTGAACATAATTGGACTTGTTTGTCTTTGGACTCGAATTCGAGCTTGCGATGCATGACCAAAGAAAATGGAGCTTAATCTCGACTCGACCAAAAAAAAGTAAGACTCAACTAAATTTGATAAAACCTGTAAGTTGAATGTTGATTTCTAACTCGCAAGCAGATCGAAATCAACTTCTCTTAGTTGCTCCTCAAAATTAGTTCAAAATTCAGGCTACAAAAATAGTTGTTGGACCACCTATTCTTGATCAAATTTTAGTACGATAATAGCCTACAATTCATTTCTACAAGGGATCATAATTTTTCACCAGTTCCTGATCAAATTTAGATCTACAAATTGTCCACTAAACAATCATAAACATAAAAGTCCAACACATAAAACATCGAATTTAAATCTACAAATTTAGACTACATAAAAGTCCAAGTATCCAACACTTAAAGTGTCCAACCAATGTCACCCAATCAAGTACACAAACAAGGTATAAAGGGAAAATGCATTGTCTGTTGTGTTTTCAACACTCTTGACCACCTCCTCTAGATATGACCTCTTCAATGTGCTCTTTTTTTTTTTTTTGTCAAAACGATAAGATTATATTGATTGGAATAAGAGTAAATACAGGCGAGACTTGCTCGATGCTTTACAATGTACATTTAGCACAATAGATTGGAGTTGACCCACTCTACATCAAAATAATTGCTCAAAGCTTGAGCGCTAAACAAACATCTTAGATCATTCCTTTTATATTTTCCTATGCAAAATGAGCATTTATAAAACATATTACTTAGCTCGCAGATGTCCTCTATCAGGGTAGCTAGCCACACGTCTACTTTTTTTTCCCTAAATTTGCTGCAAAAGGTCTGTACCAGGAACTCCAATACATACCAGCCTTCAACCTTGTTCTGCTGCTTTGATCAAAGCCCACTTTACACCTTCAAACTTCGTGTTGAAGTTGATTTGACCTTTCGCTTTCCCTCATTTTCCATCCTATTACATCCTGCCCTCTACAGTCAGCTGCTACAATACCATACCCAATGGACTTTGATGCCTTGTTCCACTTGGTTGCGATTCTTATCTGCATTCCTGCTGTTCTATTGTCTGGGATTTGGCTATCTTCTTGTTGCTCCATTTGAAGTGGTGCTATTGTTTTTTCAATGCAACAACTCCTAGCCTTTTTTATCCCATCATTGAACTCCATCCACGCATTCCAGGCTTTGTTGATCACTTGTGCTGGATTATGTGTTTTGTTGTTGAACTCTTTCTCGTTCCTGCTTTTCCAAATTTGCCAAAGAATATATGCTATAAGAGATATATGGTCCAGCCCTTGATCTCTCTGAATTGCTTCGGATAATGCAGCCCACAAACTGTTGAAATTCCCAGTCAGCTCCTGGATCTCATCCCATTGTACTGGTGCAGCTTTCCAGATCTCCTTTGCTTTCTTGCATTTCAGTAGTAGATGTTCCAAGGTTTCTAGCTCCTCCCCACACACTGAGCATATAGGGTCTCCTTCTGACATTCTTCTCCAGATTAATTCTTTGACTGGAATTGCTTCTTTCAGGCCTTTCCATATGAAGATCTTAACTTTGTGACTGATTCTTAGGCTCCACAGCACTCTCCACATGTCATTCCTTCTTGGTATGTTGCTAGACTCAATCCTTTCTCTTCTCGCTCTGCTCTCTTGTTCTTTCTTAGCCTGGATTGCCTTGTAGCCAGATTGCACCGTGTACTCCCCTTTTTGGTTTTCTGTCCAGAAGATGTTGTCCTCTCTTCCTGTGATGCTTATGGGGATCTTGAGAATGTTTTCAGCATCTCCCTATTTGAAATTTTTGAAGATGAGATTTCTATTCCACCTGTAGCCTTCTATCAAGTTAGCAACTTTCTGAACTTGGCATTCTTCTGGCTTGGTTGTGACAGGCCTCCCTAAATATTGATTTGGAATCCATTGATCTTCCCAAATTCTTGTTGAAAGTCCATTCCCTATCCCTTTCCGTATCCCCCATCGAAGCTCTTCTCTTGCACTCATAATGCTTTGCCAAAACCATGAGGCATTGTTGGGAGTTTTGCAATCCAGCACACAGCAATTTGGGAAGTACTTGCTTTTCAGAATTTTGCTGGATAACAGATTTGGATTTCTGATGATTCTCCAAATCTGTTTAGCCAACAAAGCTCTATTGAAGCTTTGAATCTCTTGGAAACACCTCGTTTTTTCTCCCTTGTCAACTACTTCCAAGCTACCCAGTGCACCTTATTCTTGTTGCCTTTTTCTCCCCACCAGAAATTAGAAAGCATAGAGCTTATCTCTTTGCATAACCTGCAAGGTAATTTGAAACAAGACATTGTGTAAGTAGGCATTGCCGTAGACACAACTTTGATCAGAATTTCTTTCCCAGCTGAACTTAGAAGCTTATTTTTCCAGCTTAGCATCCTTCTTTTGATGTTATCCTTTAAGTAGCCAAACAGCTGTCCTTTAGACCTTGATATCACGATGGGCAGTCCTTGCAATACTGGTTGAATACCTCATAGTTTTGTACACATTTCCTCATTTGTTGCCAAATCCACATTTTTGTTAAAAAAACACACTAGAATTCTCTAAGTTAACCATCTGACTAGATTCTTGTTCATACATCTCTAGTATCCTCTTCAGCCCCTTTGCTTCTTGAGAGTTGGCTTTGCAGAAGATCAGGGAGTCATCAGCGAAAAAAAGATGGGTTACTGAGGAACTATGTCTGCTTATCTTCATGCCAACCATATTCCTTGTTTGTGTTGCTCTCTTTAGCAGGCTAGAGAAGCCTTCTGAACATATGAGGAATAGATAAGGTGATAGTGAGTCACCTTGTCTTATCCCTTTTTCTGGTACAATGTATTCCTTACACTCTCCATTGATGTTAAAGGAGAAGGAGACTGTACTTATGCACTTCATAATCCATGTTATCCATTTGTCACAGAACCCTATTTTTTCCATCATAGCTTGCAAAAAATGCCATTCTACTCTATCATAGGCCTTAGACATGTCAAGCTTCACAGCCATAAATCCATCCTTACCGTGCCTTTTGTTTTTAAGATGATGCAAGTACTCATGAGATATAATGATGTTATCAAGAATGTGTCTCCTAGGGATGAAAGGAGACTGATTAATGCTGATGCAATGATGCAAAATTGGTTTGAGCCTATTGACTAGAATTTTGGCAATAACTTTGTAAATCACACTATAAAGGCTAATGGGTCTGTATTGCTTGATGTTAGTGGGGCAAGGGACCTTTGGGATCAAGGAAATGATGGTATGGTTGATAGCTTTTAGCATATTACCAGAATGAAAAAAGATTTTTATGGCATTTACCAGGTCTCCTTTGATTATATCCCAGAATTTTTGGAAAAAAATGGGGGACATCCCATCTATACCAGGAGCCTTGTTGCTATCCATAGAGAAGATTGTGGATTTGATTTCCTCTTCTGTTACAACTTTAGTTAAATCCTGGTTCATAGCCTTAGATATGGATTTTGGGATTCCAGCTAGAATGTCATGATTACTACTCTCGGTTGATTTGGTGAAGAGTTGCCTGTAATAGTTACCAATTTCAGCTCCCAGTTCAGCCTCATTTTCTGTCCATGTCCCATCTTCCTTTTGTAGTTTCTGCATTGTATTCATCTTCCTTCTACCGTTAACCTGTGCATTGTGACGATCCCACCTTCTCCTAGGGCATACCCTAGAAGTTAGCGGATCGCTTGCCTGGCTTTCGCCAGGACTCACTCACTCACATTAACTTCAGAGATAACATTACCATTAGACAACTGACCATCCACTCTTAAGTACATCTCCAATCAGTTTAAAACATAAATTTGTCCAATAAAAGAAAACAAAATATTTGTTCTAAATATCCATTTCTAATATCACACCAACTCAAACAAAAATTCAACTGTCTCAAAATTCAAAAGAGACCATGCCTACACTATATACATAGAATAACGGATCTTCCCAAAATAACTTTCTAGTTCAATCCAATCACTCTTCAATCTCTGACTCCTGTAAGGAAAACAAAGCTAAAAGGGGTAAGCTATACGCTTAGTAAGTAAACAGGGGTAAAAGCATAAATTTCACATTAAGACAAACAAGTTCGTCACAACGATATCCAATCGCAAGTACAAAAGTAACAACACGAGTTAAGGATATAGGTTAGCTCCAAAGCCAAATCATGTGTCACGTGTGACCTCCTGTCGACACTCCGTCGACCACAAATAATGGTCCGTAGAACTCCACTTGTACTCCCACCTAACACCTTATGACTCTCACTGGCCAGTCACCTCACAAAATGGCTCGAGCAAACGAAATTGAGCTTGATTTACAAAGTTGGTTCACAAACTTGATTTACAAACTTGGTTCACAAACTTTGTTCACAAACTTGGTGACCTCAAGACTAGGTTGGACTGGTTTCGACCATACCCCGACCGGCTCGAATAATCCGTCTACGTCATGAGATTGGACCCCACAAACGTCACCCCGAACTACAAGTTCAAGGGGTTCAATATCAAAATAATTCATATATATACATGTCATAAATAAACACAGGTGCAAATTAGGGTTTAGGTCGAGTGTGATCAAGTACACTCTCGCCTAAGTACCCTCTCATTCACATCAAAGTACTTAAGCAAGTTATACATAAAAACGGCCTGAATACTTACACAAAAAACAAGTATAGCAAAAGAGCGGAGATCACGTCACGTGTAATAGCTAGTAGGCCCCACTGGTTCCGTCTAACTCACCACCGTCTGAAATAGAAGATTGTATCACATTATTCCACAAACGGCTACTAGAATGCATAAATCAAGGAAAACGGCTAAGTCTATTCAATTATTTGTTATCTATAAATGACGAAATAAGGGTAATAATGGCTAAGTCTATTCAAGATTTTCGCGAGTTATCACATTTTCCCCCCTTAAGAAAATTTCATCCTCGAAA